AAGTAGGGACTGCTTGCTTTTCTGAGATGGCTTTCCTTGTCTCCACAGTGTTTTCCTGAATCGGGATCCCTCTAGCACATTACCTCCTATACCCGACTCTACTGATGAGACATCAGAGAAAACCCAATCAGAAGAGTCTTTGTCCCAGGCTGCTTCTTATCCTCCAAGGACAGGGAATTTCAGCAACAATGTCCTCTGTTCCTTGGGTGAGGGGCAGCTCTGCACTGCCAGGGCGGCCATGGCCGGGAGGAGAGCCTGGGCCTCAGGCACCCGCTTCAGCATGAGCTCTGTGTCTTCCAGCAACCAGGAGACGGGGAGTGGGAGTCAGCAGCCCCCCTGGGTGGTATCCCAGAGCTTAGCCTCTCTGGGCCAACCACCTAACATGCTGAAGCCAAGGGATGAGCCAGAGGCCCTCACGCCTTCCACCCAGGCCAGGAGGACTAAGGGACTGTCAGACTCTGGCCACAGACCATCAGAGTGGCAAAAAGAAGGGGACCTTGAGACCCACAAGGCTGCTGACGGAGCCAGTTGCAGTTGCCCACATCCCCATGGACCCAAACAGGCAGCTGGGCATGGAAAGGCAGCCAGAACTTTTGGGAAAGAATCCCAACCACCTTCTCCAAACAGGGCATCGAAAGGGCAGAAGAAGGTCCTGGCAACTAAGGTCAGAGACATTACCAAAAAGTCCTCTCATTTGCCTCATGGCAGCCCTTTAAAGAGGCAACATAGTGCAGGGAGCCCAGACACCATGGCCTCTCTCACAGATGCCGGCCCAGTGGAGGATCCCACAGGAGAAAAAGATGGTGATTTATCAGATGCAGATAGCAGTTACTCAGTGGATTCTCTCTCTCGTGTCTGTGCCAAAGCCCCGACGGAGCCACGGAAGTCAGGGAACCCCCCGAGGAGGGAATGGCATCTCCCAGAGCCAGAGAACACTGAAAGTGACAACAGCCAAATATCTGAGGACTCGCTGACCGAGAAGGGGAACCAAAGCCCACAGGACAGCCCAGGGGACAGTTATCTTACCAATGGCCACGGCGACCCCAGGGCCAGAGCTGGAGCATCTGTGAGGCGCTTCACCACATCCTCGGACAGGGGCCTGTTCGCCCAGGCTCGCAGGAGCTTTTCGCTGGATAGCCTGATTGACGCTGAGGAAGAACTCGGGGAAGATCATCAGGAAGAGCCTTTCTTCAGTTCAGCCGATGAGATGCCAACAGAGACGTTTTGGCGCCTGCAGACCTCCAGTCTGCCCGTCGTGAGCCAGGAGGCAATGTGCAGGCTTGGTCCCATCCCCCACAGAAAAGGAGCCAGGCTAGATGCCATCCTGCCAATGAGCAGTTCATTTTACCTCGATTCCCAGCCCCTGCCCCGCTGTGCACAGCCTGAGTCGGAGGTGGAGGCGAGGTCCTCTGAACAAGCCACCACTCTGCAAAGCGTGCCGCTTTCAAGAGGGAGCCCTCTGTTGTCCATGGATTCCTGGTTTTCCTGTGACTCCAAGATCAATCCCAACAGCCCCCTGGGAATAGTGGGTTCTTTATGTCCAAGTCCTGATGTCCAGGAATTTCAGCCCAGTGGTCGGGAGAGGCCTGGATTCTGGCCAAAGATGGAAGAACTAAAGCCATCGGGTACAGAAGCAGTCCTGCCCTATACTTCCAAACTGCCCCCTGGTGGTGCGGAGCTGCCCTGCAGTGTCAGAGCTGTGTACAATATTCCTGCTTCTGATACATCCAGGTTGTCTCTCTGGGGGTCATACAGGCTGCTTCAGTCTCGAGTTGATGGCACCTTTCAGACCAGAGGTGTCTCTGACCCAGCCCAGCAGGGCAACTCTGAAACATCCAACAACTCTAGTGTATCGAGTGTGCTGCCTGCCTCTGCCACCTCATTTACTTACGTAGGCAGCGCCTGTGAGAGGGACTGGGCTGCCCTTCAGCAAAAGTACCTCCTTGAACTATCTCATCCTGTGTCAGAGGCCATAGGAGGGCCCAGGCCAGCTTTCGCCTCCCTCGAGGAAGACTCTGGTTCCCTGACCCCAGCTTCTAGCAGAGGAGGAGATACTGTATTGGTAGTTGGTTCTGGGCTATCTAGCAGTTTGAAGTTCAACAACTTTCCTATCCATATACCCAAAATTAGGCATTTGAGGGCAGAGAAAGAACAGGACAGTTTGGGTGTCGAGTTAGAAGGCACTTCAGATTACTTTACAACTAGTGAGAAGGAGGTGAGTTGCAGTGGAAATTATTCAGCAGACATAGAATCATTGACTTCTGGAGCTACAAATGCACAGGTCTTTGCAGCAGAGAACAAGGTGGCAAAGTCCATGATGGGAGCATGTGAAATCAAACAGAACCACTTGGAAGAGTCCTCTCAGAGTAGCGGGAGGAAGCCTGGAACGATGACTTCCTCTGATGAATGTTTCTTCCTGAAGAACCCTTGTCACAGTAATGTCACCGTAGCCACCAACGAAGATCCTCGGCCCCAAAGTTGTGCTCCTCTCAGGAAGAATAGTATAGGCCTGGCAGGGCCAGTAAATCACAACAGCCACCTCCCCCGGCAGGAAGAGGAGGCAGACTGCCAGGAGAGCTCCCAGGAAGTGGTGGGAAGACACGCCAATCTTTCCTTTGCCTTTCCGTCAGGCCCAGAGCTGTACCTGCACTCTGCTCCTTGGAATTCATGCCCGTCTTCCCTGCAGCCACCTCCCTTAGAAACATTCTATGTGACCAAAAGCCGGGATGCCCTGACGGAAACGGCCTTAGAGATTCCGGCTTGCAGAGAAGCCAGAGTGCCTTCCCCACCCCCCAGGGAGGCCTGGGGCTTTGGTCAGGACTACCAAGCCCTCCAGAATGTTTATTTAAAGAATAATTTGCCGGTGCTGTTACAAAAACAGAATGCCAAGATTGCCTCATTGCAGCAGGTCACAGTGGAGAGGCCACTTGATCTGAACACCACGGAGGTTAGTGGCGAAGTAGGGAAATGCGCTGGAAGCCATAATTCAGTATATTTTTTTGTTGCTCAGAACAGACATTTTCTTACATCTGCCAGCACGAAAGTATGTGAATATGAAAATCAATTTGGAAATTTAAATAAACACTGTCTTCCGGCACTTGAGGGAGAAAAGACCACGGTACAGTCCTGTTGCACCGTTTCCTCGGACAGTTCTGGGTCTGGGAAGCCACTTTTTGTTTGTGAGTCTCAAGCAAGTGGGGACGAAGGGCAGAAGCAGAACGCAGCCCTAAGACAGAGCCAGGCCTCTGGGAGGGACAGACAGTCCCCTTCGGGCGCCAGGTCTGATCTCACCTGTAAAACTATCAGTTTAGGTTTTGACAAGGACATGCTGGGGGGCACTGCTCTTTCTTTGAAGTCTAGATCAGCATATCATAGAGTAAGGAGCCCAGAGACAATGGCCCAGGATGGGAGTCCAACCCACAGAGGGGAATGGAAGAATGAAACTGGGCTTCCTCGAAAATCTCTCCAACCCGAAGACAGCTCAGAAGAGTTTAAGCAGCCATGGACAGAATCTACACAAGAAAGGTTCCAGTCAGTTATATACTCTCAGGAAAGAAACCTCACTGAACACAGGGGCCCTGGAAAGTTGCAAGAAGTGTTAAATCCCAAAGAACCACCTTCTGGAAAGAAACAGAATAAAAGAGTTAATAATGCTGACGAAATGGCTAGGCTAATTAAGAGTGTCATGCAGCTAGAAAATGGTATCTTGGAAATCGAATCCAAGCAGAATAAGCAGCTGTATGCTTCCCATACGCTGGGAGTCAGTCATGAGTTTGTGTTCCAGGACAAGGAGATGGCTGATCGTGTTGGTAAGCCAGGCAGCTCTAGAAACCACCTGTCTTCTCCAGAATACACAGATGATACTGATTTTAGGGATGGTGACGCTGGAGAAATGGAGACTAGCAGTAGCACTTGGGAAGATCCCCAGGACCAGAAAATCATGCTGAGTCCCTTCAAGTCAAGAGACTGGGTACAAGACATTAAATTTGTGAGAGAGCACAATCCCCCAGCTGTATTAGACAGACCTGCCTGGGACCCTTGTGATTATTTAGGGATATGTACAACTCACAGCGAGTGCACCAGAACTTTTGTTAATCCAAGGAGAAGGAAAGCATTGGCTAGAGCTGTGCCATCCCAGCCCAGACCCGAGTGGCCCTCTGAGGAGGAAAGTGAGGTGGTGCATGCATCAGCAAGCCCCAGAAGACAGCCCCATGGCTTGGAAAGTCTTGAGGAATCGGAGACTATGAAAGGTTGTCAGGAGAGCCATGTTCCCAAACACGTAAGTAGTTTTTACCCAGAGAAGCCAAAAGTTCAAGGCAGCGTTAAAGAAATGACTATGCAAAGAGGAGAGAGCCTACACGAGCAATACAGAATGGTCTCATCGACTCAGAAATTTCTTAGTCCACGCCAACGTTGTATGGGCACGTTTTTCAGCCAGGAGACAGGCTCATTGCTGAGTCAGCCAGACTCATCTATGGCTCCCCATGGAGACCTGAGTAACACCTTGCCCTTGAATTCCCCAAGACTGCCAAGAAGCTATCTTCATGCGCCTGATACTATAGGCATCTCTTCAGTTGACTATGTGCTGGATCCTACAGTGTTGAAAATGCCTAACAGTCTCTGGGTAACTGAAGCAGGGTGTCAGGGCCAGAGTGGAGTGCCCAGAAGCCACAGCCCTCAGGGAAATGTGCAAGAGGCGTCCTCCAGGGCGCACACTGCTTGCTGTGGGTCTGCAGTCTTCATGGCCATGGGACCTTGGGATCAATCTGGTGCACCAGAGACCACTCCCCTGGGGACTGAGAGCAGGAGATCAGCAAGCAGCAGTCCCCCAGACCTGGGAGGGGGCCCCAGAAGCACCTCGATGGGCTTGAGTACCAGGGTGGATTCTGCTTCTGAAGCCAAGGTGGCTGTACAAAAAGGAGCAAAAAGAGCCAGTCCCCTTAACTGGGTCTCTAGCCCACTTAAAAAGACGGTCAACTGTCCCTTAGAAGAGGGTAACAACCAGTGCAGGGAGGTGAGGCAGAAGGCAGAGGCGGCGGCCGAGGACCTTAGTCCTACCGGTGCTACTTTCTCAGCAGCCGTGTCCCTGGAGACACACCCTGAGCTCTCTGCACATACATCCACGGGCTTAGCTGTGCTGGAGGAAATCAGAGAGACAAAGGCCCACGGAGAACAGCTTCATGACTTGGTGACTGAGGGCACAGTCTGTCCTTACTATGAGACTTTATTAGAGCCTGCATGTTCTTCAAGGGCCCCGGATAGGCCTCAGCGTCAAACGGACCAGCCAGTGTCAGACAGGATCGGGAATGAGGGTGAAG